TGTGGTGCAAAGATAATTTTGCAATATTATCTGCTCTGCCTTGCCAGCACATGTTCCTGATGTCTGCAAACACACACACATACACACACACACACGGCCATCTCTCCTTCAAAATATAGTAAGTTCATAGAACTCTATCATCTATTAACACAATTCCAGGCTTTTATTCCTTTCTTTTCTTCTGTAACTTTTATTACACAGCCACAGACATACATATGCTCTGCCACGCTGTCTCATTTTGATGTGTTCAGTTACTGTAATTGCCACCGATTGAAAATCATATGACACTTTTTATTTTAAATGTCTGATAAAAGTTTTCAGCTTGAAAGGGGCTGACTGTACAAAGATTGTCCATACAAAGTTTAAAAATGCCACACACAAACTGGCATTTAAGGCAGTGTTTGATCTGTAATGCAAACAAAACAAAGATGGCGAGTTTTAAGCCTAAAATTCTTTTGATCTTTGAAGCCTCATGGCTTTAAAAATACAACTGTCTCCTGTATCACAGCCTGGCATGTACATCTATATGGCTATATGTATACATATACTTACACATAACACTAAAAAAATTCTGTATTCAAAATAGGGTCAGTAGGCAATTGCAAGACTCTGGTTTTGTTCTTTAAACACCCTCTATTCATGAATAAAGATAAGTCCAAATCTTGTCCCATTGAAAAAAAAAACCAAATTCAAACAAGACCATGACCTGGCTGAATTTATTTAGACTAAGGAAGACTTTGCAATACATGCATGGAACAATCAAGCCCCAAAAAATAAATGGCATGCAGCAGGGCAGAGGGACTCTTAAGAGCACTTTGTGGAGGCAAAATAATTCCTCAAAAATGCAAAATAATTCCTCAAAAATACAACCCCCCCCCAGGCACAGCAAGCCAGCTCAAGGCCCAAACAATATATACAGCCTCACTTAAACAGGGCATAAGATGATATTTTCTTAGGGGGAAATTTCACACGAATTTGGGTGCTCAACAGGAGATGCTCAAAAGGGAGCTGATACCCAAGACAGGATGAACATCCCAAGCTTTCTGCAAATCAAGACATTTATAGCATCTCACATGGTGCATCCAAAACCAGAGCTGATCTTGGCCGTTGTATTGTCCATGCTGGGCGGTTTACTGCAGTGTTTGCCTTTGGAAATCTCTCCATCAGCATCACTAGAGATTTGTCGCTAAAGACAGGAGCTTTAAAGGGCAGGAAGAAGCCACTCCTTCTGCATATCTGTCAATACGTAAAGTTTTTGACTGCATGATACAACACTACAGAGCTGGATCACAAAGGGTAGAAGGCACCAGTGGAGAGCGATATGCTCAGCATGGAAGATTGTGCTGTATGGGAAATGCAGGATTGCTTCTTTTAACCCACCAACCCTCTCTCTGAGGATCAGTGGTACAGCTGCCATTTGAAAAATTGCCACAGGACAGTCTCCTAGGGCTTGCTTGAAGCTGAACCATGCAAAACCATTGCTCCCCTCCACCGTTGAAAGTGGTTTTGGTACTGCTGTCACAGCATGTGTTAGAAGTGTCCTCTCACTGCAGCACTGGCACAGAAGCAGAGAAGGGACACACAAGCTTACAAGTGCCTCCTGCCCTCTGCCATGGTCGAGGCAATTTTGTGATTCTGTGTGTGATCCTGTAATGCTGCTGAAATCTGTGGTAGCTCGGTACGTACTATGGTGCAATAAGTGGCTTCCCGTAGGCATGAGATCACAGAAACACAGCATTGCCTCGATTGGAAAAGCCCTTCAAGATCATCAAGTCAAAGCATTAACCTCCTCCTGACAAGCCCCTGACTAAACCATGTCCCTCAGCACTATGTCTACATGACTCTTAAACACCTCCAGGGATGGGGACTCCACCACTGCCCTGGGCAACCCACTCCAATATGAGATGTAGCCCTTAATATCTATCATGGAAACATCCACTTACTACCTACTTAAAAGTAAAGGTGATGCACCTAGTGTATAAAGGCTTTTTTTTTGTTGTTTAATTAAATGACTCAATAAACTACAGACATTAAAAACTCCTGCCTAAATCATGCCTTATAACCGAACACAGCCCTCAGTGCTCATATTTAAGTCTCCCTGAAGCTGAGAGGATGCATACAAAGATACTCGTTATCTGAATTTAGCTTTTATGGACTTCATAAATTTATGTTAACAAAGTGTGACTGAACCCTCATGTTGAAAAAAATAAATAATTAGCAATGGGTTGCTTTATCATAACATCTACAGGAAGATCATTGTGAGGGATGGTCTTCCTGTAGAGGTTGTAAGATTAATTTCCTACTACAGCATACAGGAAAGCAGCAGACTGTGCTATGCAGTGCTGTATTGCAACAGTGCCAGTTGGTAAACTCCAGGCGAGTTGGATGGTCTCCTTCTTCTACTTCCACCTCCTCTTCCTCCTCATTTTTCTCCTCTCCCTCCTCCCCTTCCCCAGAATTATCAGATGGCACAAGCCAGCAGCAGCACAGTGGGCAGGGATGAAGCCACTGATCTAGGAGGCTAAGGCAAAAATGGAACTTTTCGGAGCAGCACGTGTGGGTGAAGGAAAGCAGGAGCTTTCGTGCTTTGCTGAATCGGGGCCCCATCTCACAGCACTACGGCTGAGCAAACAGGGAGCTGTTTGGTTTGCTGGTAATTCAAACAAGCCAGCAGAAAAATCACTGCAGGTCAACCCAGAGCAAATACCTTCAGAAGCATTCAGAGAAAAGCCTAAAGCACTGTTTTGTTTTAGACTAAATCAAGTGTTTCACTTTTAAATGAAGCAGCTGGTTTGCTGAAGGTCTCTTTCAGGGAACAGGCCTGAGAAGGAAGTAATTTCAACTTAAAAATTAACATGTTTCAAATTTTCAGGGTTCTTTTCTTTTTTTTTTTACCAGCAAACTTTAAGTGAAACAAGTGAACAGCAAACACTTGCAGCATTGTTGAACCTGCCTTCTCTAAAGAAAATTTTGGCTGCTAAAGGGTTGGGTGCCTCTCCCTGGCACGTAGAAGAATGAAGGCGTGAGCCCTCCTGAAGGGAGCAGCTCCCCGTGTGCTCTTCTTGCTGCACCCAACTCACCCTCCACTGGCTCCTTCAGCAGCTGCATTTACAAATGAAGTGTTTCACCCACATTTCATATTTTCCCCTCCCAAGCACCCTGAGGTCAAAGTTAATTTTACAGGTTCACAAATCATTATGTTTTGATTTACAAAATTTTCTTTTAAAAAGAAAACCCGCTGCAGGTTTGTGCTTAAAAAACAAATGCAACCTCCTTCACCTCCCCCCCAAAAAAATGCATAGTGAAACAGATTTCCCTGTGAGCAGAGAACTTTGCTTCTGAAGATGACAAGGGGACCATGTGAAGTGATTTGGCCTCTACAGACCCTCACAGTTTGAATATAAACAATGGAAAAGGTCAGTTTCTGATGGAAAGGATGGCACCAGCAGTACCTGAGATGATGCTAGTAGATTACATGTGGCTAGTATGGAAAGGAATAGAGATAGATGACCTCCAGGTCAGGAGAAGTACAGTTGGTCACATGCTACATTGAGTATATTCTGAGCATGGCATCTATAGAACCCGGAAAAAAAAATCTTTATTTTCTTTGATCAAAAATATGTATAGAAATGCCTGTTTCAAGGAAAATATCATACATTTTTTTTCTTGTTTAACAAAATAAATTAAATATACATGACTTCTGTTTAAACTCTATATAGAATTACAAAGGTTTTATATTTGCAATTGGATTCATTTCCAGTCTATATAGGTATTTAATATGGTCCTTATTTATTCTCTCTTCTTACTGTTGTTTGAACTGCAGTGACATTGTATCATTTCAAAAATGTTATCTGAGAGGAGGGGACAACCACACACAACCTAGGTGAATATTTCTCAAATGCATTTTTTCTTACAAGATTATTATTTCATTCTCTTTGTTTCTTACTCTTTTTTCTAATGTGTTTATGTATTTTGCATTGATTTAGAAAATCCAGTAGCTTGTCACTGTGAGCCATCAGAGAAGGACAGTATGTTTTTCTTTCTTCACCGTCAGCAGTTCAATTATTATTATTATTTATTATTATTTCTTAAATATAAATATAAAGGTGTTATGTACAATGTTCCTCTTTCTTTTTTCCTGGCAGTGGCACTGAGTCCTAGGACCAGGGAGTGGAGCACCTGTGGTTTGATCCGCAGAACCTCCCATGGGAAACACGACGATTTCAACTTGCAGAAATTGAACAAACCATCTCAGTTAGCATTTCAGAGCAAATGAACACGGTTGAGAAGCATTTAGCATTTCACATTGTGAATAGAAATTCATTTTTCCAGACCCTCCTGTGTAATTTTTTTTTTCCCTGGAAGAGGTAAGTTGGTTAGGTCTCCTGGTGCTTTGGCGCTAAACCTCACGTACTTCAGAGCTCAAGTCACAGAGGGAACAGGTTCTTCTGTGTGGTCCTGAGCGGGACAGGCTTGAGCTTCCCACCAAAACAGCTGATGTGCAGCAGGCACCAGAACAGCAGTGCCCATCGGGAAAAGCACCGCTGTTGCCTCTTGCTCTTCTCGCTCCTTTTAGCAAGAGAAGGAAGGAGGTGGTGGTTCATGTCCTTGTGTCCTGTCTCGCTTGTTGCCACTCTGATTAAAAAATCCAGGAAGGCTCCGCTGTTGGGGATGGCTGCCTCTCTGCTGAGATGTGGAGTTCCTTCATTATTCCTCGGCTACATCCTGACTGCAATAATTAAAAAAAAAAAAAAATCTCTTTTCTCTCTCTGTCTTTCTCTATTATATATATATTTATATAGATAGATATAGATATATACACATATATATATACACACATACACACACGCATATACAATTATATATTTATATTTAAAATTATATATATAATCTTTTCTGTCTGCTTTGCCTATTGCTGGCAGTGTGAGCTGACTTGGAGCAGTCTCTTCTGAGGTACCACAAGGAAAAGCCCAAACGAGCTACTGTACACAGCCGCCCTCTTAGCACTGGTACTGAATGTGCTGGTGCTGATGGACTTTGCCTTCCACGTGTGAGTGGGTGTGGGTGTGGATGTCCGTGTAAATCTTTGGGTACATTTTGGATGCCATGGCTGGGGCAAGTGCAGGCCCTTGGGACAGTAAATGCTGCTGCTGGGCAACATATTCCTCATAGTTTATGGAGGAGATGCAGTCTTTGTCGGGGACCTGGGAGACGCAGATCCTGTCCCGGGGCTGTGGCCGGGGCACGGGGGCAGCAGCTGGGGGAGAGGGGCTGTGGCCGGTGCACGGGGGCAGCAGCTGGTGGAGAGCAGGGTTTCTTCTTGGTCTGGCAAAGCCACAAGAGGATCGTCCCAAAGATGAAGACAGCTCCGGCAGGGATGCCGATGATCACGGGCCAGGGAAGGCTGCTGGCCGAGGAAGGGGGCACAGGTGCACTCGGAGGCTTGGGATCTGGACATCATGGCAGGAGAGAGACAGAAAGAGTTAATTAAATGCAGGCAAAGTTAATTCAAAACAGATGTCACACTCGGGCTGGCTTTTGTACAGGCTGTCTGGCAACTCTGCCAGACCAAGTAACAAGGGAGAAATCAAGCCAGCACATGATGTTTGGTAACTGCTTTGCTTTTCAGTGCTCCTGGAAGGACATGTAACTCATTTTCTCTGGTTTAGGGGTCAGGAGGGGAGTCTTTGGGGGATTTTTTAACTTTCTTATCCAAGCTTTAATGGATGCACTAGAGCCAGCCCAAAAGAGTTTCCTAACACCTTCACTCTACAATGGAATGGGCTTCGCTGCCCAGATTGGAGGACACAACACGGGATGTGTCAGTAACACCTCCATTTCAGCAGCCCAGGAGGCACAATTGGGTTGTACAGAGCAACAGCACGCTGCCCACTTGCCTCTGCCAGGTGTAGCTGTGTCTACGTTGGCTTCAGACACTCTTTAGTATCCCTGTCTAGCGATACTGGAGCTGCTCAGCAATGCTCTGCTCTGCCATGGCAGGCAGCATGAGTGTGCTGTTTTGGAGGTGTTGTCTTGATTTTCTTGTGTGTCTGGGAGGAAGGCTGAAGGATGGGAAAAACATAGGTGAGCTGGTGTTCCCTCCTTGGTGCCCAAGACATGGAGAACTGAAAGTTCACATGGCATTAGTGTGTATCCAACTCCCTATGCCAAATGGGCTCTACCTTCACCAGTCTCTTTGGACCTGTCATTGGCTTTCCACGGGCAGCAAATTCAGCTACTGGAGGAGAGAAGATGCTTCAGACAGCATCTTTCACAGCTACCTTCCCCTTCTCCTCTCCACTGTTGGCAGCCTGTACATCCCTGGGTAGCCACTCCGGTTTCTCAGCCTGATCTCTTGATTTATAGACCCAAAAGGAGTCCTGGGGTAGGATCCTAGCTATCAAAATCCCCAATTAGATAGCTGCCAGCTGGGACTTCCAAAGCCCTGAAAAATACTAAGGCACAGAATCCAATTTGCAGGGAGACATTCAAGAAACTTTGAAAACCACAGGCTATCCAAATCACCCAGTATGTTATATTCAAACATATATCACTTAGCTTTCAAACCAAACTTCTTTAAGACACTAATGTCTTTTTCTCGCCTTGACAAATAATCCTATGGCTGGTTTGAAATATTGAATATATACTATGTGGTCTCTTTGAAGTCCGAAGGACTAATACTGTTGACCTGAATAGACAAAACTTTGATTCACCAACACTGGAAATTGCAGCATAATTTAAGATGGAAGGGGAGTCTAGAGGTCATCTGGTACAGAAAGCAAGACAGGATCAAAGAACTGACCCATCAGCTGACCACGAAAACAACAGTCTTCATGTTGTTGGCAGAAATGCTCTGATGGGCTAAAACGAAAGTGTTTTGATATTCATCCATGCTGTTCTTCAGAGCTGTCTATGTCAAATCTGGTAGATTTACAAGCAAAATAGTGTTTTTCTAACTCATGGCCTTGCAACCACATCTTTGCCTCTGAGGGCAAGCTGGGCTCTCCTTCTTCGTCACTGCCAATAACAACAGGCCTGCAGGCTCTGGTGCTGGTATGAAGCCTCATTATAGTCCCATTTAAATCAGTGGAAAGACTCTCACTGATTTCAGTGGGAGCTGGATCAGTCTCTCATAGTTCAGAAGCTCCCAAGGGCTTTGAGTTATATCCCACCCACACAGCCTTTTCCTTGGGATTGACAGGCTTTTTAGTTGGAGTTTAGTCCTAAATCTAAGTGATGCAGAAGAGGACACCAAGAACATTCTCTTACTTGGCAACCTGCTGTCTAAATCTAAATTCAAGCTAGTGACTCTCTATGGCTGCTGAGATGCAGAGCTTTGGCAGTCAGTGAGCAGAAGAAGCCATGCTGCCTTAGTTACAGGAGTCATAAGCATTTTCCCCACTACCTACACAGAGAACCAGTCCTAACACCCTAGGAGAGTTAACGATGTCTGTCTCTCACTGGTGTCTTGACTGGAGACACCCTGTTAGACCTGACAGCTAATATTCTGACCTGTTTCTGATACTAGCTCCAGCTCCTACACTCTCTTAGTTGTGTTGGCTTCACGGTGGTGAAGGGAAGAAAAAGCAGTAAGATTGATTTTTGTCATAAAACTGGTGGATCCGAAGTTAGAGTCACACAGCAAGATGAGGCAGAAATAAATGCCTTTTTTAATAAAAAATATTTATCAGGGCAGAACTGCACAGTTAGGAGGCATAGAAGCAAATGACAAAGCAAGGATGGTGTGCCCCAAACACACCCAACACAGCCTCAGTTGGACATGCCATCATCTCTGAAGCCTAGAGAGAGAAGGAAGCAGCTGCGAGTTTGGTACAAGGGTCCCCAGGGGATCACTGAGTAAGAATTCAAATAATCAATCATTCTTTCTTTCACACTCATTCTTTTCCTTTCCTTGTGACCAGGACAGTTTTTATTCTTTTCTCATTTTATGGGCCTGTATCATTGTTTCCTTTTACCAGTAAAAGCAATATAAATAAGAGCAAGAGAAAGGAGACATGTAAGGGAATGGGATTGCAAACTGTGCTGCTATTCAGTTTCCCTCTCATGTCTCACATCCTATCACTGAAGTGATGTAGAGCCTGCAACTGTAGTATCCTTTCCCAGCTCCTCTTCCATACAGAGCAGATAATTCATTTTATTTCACCTTGCTGGAATCACCATTCCCCATGAGAGAAGAAAAGGAAACATCATCAAGAGGATTTCAGTAGGGGCTGATGTGAATCAGGGTTTAGTCCCTCATTCATTCTTATCAGAACTGGGATAGCATAAATCAGCACAGGATCAGAGAGGGCATCAGTAGTTGTGTTAATAAATACCACAATGTAGATTGTTGGTTCAGATGGGGGGAAAAAAATGCATAACTCACCTGGCAGGACTGTGAGAAAAGCGCTCCGAAAGCTGTAGCCCATGGTGTTTGCCCCTAGGCAAATGTACATCCCTGCATCCTCTTCCTTGGCTCGAGTAATCATCAGTTTGTTCAGGTAGGAACCATCGGGACGGGACCAGACTTCCCCTGTGGGCAGCACAACAAACTTCTGTCCCCCAACATCGATGGTTGAGTTGTACTTGCTCTCTGTTCCATACTCCACCCTTTTCAGCCACTGGATGACAGGTTTAACATCGCTGCGGACTTTGCACTGGAAGGATGTGGTGCCACCGTAGTCTACCGTCGTGTTGACAGGGTGCGTCCCCGTCAGGATGGGCTTGGACCTCGTCCTCTCTGCAGAAAAACACAGGGAGCTCCATGGAAAAAGGTGTTTGCCAATCTCATTAACTTGTAATTGCAGAAACATAGGAAAAAGGCGTAGGAGAGATGCAAAATAATAGTCTAGTCCAACTCCCTGCCCCAAGGCAGGCTGAGATTTCTGCAGATCATTCCTGATATAAATTTGCCCAGCCTCTGCCAAAGCCTCTAATGGTAGATGGTATCCATTCTCTCCAGACAACTTCTCCATTGTCTGAGGCTTAGCAAGTCTTTTCTCATGCTCAACCTGAATTCTCCTGTACCTAACAAGGAAGTTACATACTCTATCTGCATTCAGACCTGGAAAAAAGTTTGCTCTCCCTCTTAGCCTTTTATTTTGGAAGATTTTCTTCAGCCCTCTCTTCTGTACACTGAACAACCATCCTAACTGCTAAACAAATTGGATCCTAAGAATCCTCTATAGAAGGTTTTTCTCTTTGCTGTTTCTCTGCTCTCTCAGGTTACTCATGAAGTATTTATATTCGGGTACTCAGTTTGTGGTGGTATTACTTGGCACCACACAAGTCAGGCCTGGCCTTTCTGCTCCTTGGCAAGTATGGTAAGTCCAGTCTGGACTGCTGAATTTCCCCTTCCCTTGCTGTACACTGTAGCTATGAGATGACAAAAGGGGCCATCCTTCCTTGTACTCCCACTTATTCCCATGTCTCAGGGACCATATCCCAGAATAATGAGATCTTAATGATGTACCTTGACCTACAGGGTCAGAGGCTGCAGTGACCTTTCTTGAGCAGAGGAAGATAAATGGCTTGATACTAGCCAAAAAAGGCCAAAACCCATTTCAGGATTAAATTTAGGCAATAATACAGGTCTGAACTCAAATGAAGTGGATTATTTCACTGTAAAAGTTCACCTGATATTGACCATGATGAAGTCTTATCAATGTTTATCAATATCTGAAGGGAGGTTGTAAAGAAGATTGGAGCCAGGCTTTTCTTCAGTGGTGCCCAGTGACAGGACCAGAGGCAATGGGCACCAACTGAAACACAGGAGGATCCCTCTGAACATCAGGAAATGCTTTTTTATTGTGAGGGGGGTCGAGCACTGGCACAGGTTGCCCAGAGAGATTGTGGCATCTCCATCCTTGGTGATACTCAAAAGTCATCTGGACAAGGTTGTGGGCAACTGGATTTGGGTGACCCTGCTTGAGCAGGGAATGTTGGACCAGATGACCTCCAGACATCCCTCCAACTTAATCCGTTATGTGATTCTGTGATGCTGTGTCTCTTACCACCATGCCTGGTAGAGTGCAATTTACAGGTGAATATGACAGAACCTTATGCATTCTCAAACCAACATCGGTTTTTTACCAGATTATTTACAAGTACGTATCTATTAAGAGTCCACACCAGAACCACTGTCCCCAGTTTGGGGACAGTGAGGGGCGAGGTAAGACATGTTCTTTCTCCATATGGTCTTCCTAAATGTTCCCTAAGGACAGACAAAACTGGATGGGAAAAGGCTCCTCCTTTCATGGAGTAATGGCAGGCTGTGCATATTGTCTCCTCTTTGTCTGGGAGTCTTTTAGGAGGTATCTGTCATCTCTGTTGCTGGGTCTGGTAGCTGCCCACAGGGACCAAATTCTGCTGGAAGCCAGCCCATGCCATGTCATCCACTGCTGGGGGAGCTGAGACCATAGGCAATACTGGTGAGGGAGATCTTCACTTCATCCTCATTTCCCATTTTATTATTTCTTTCTTCAGGCTAATCGTCCCCATATGAATTATGGAGTAAATTTTTGTGGAGGAAAAGCTCAGAAGGCTTTTGTTTTTCTAGCCAATAACAAAATCTTTCGTTTCTTACAAAATTTTTTTGCCTCAAGTCTCAGCTGATGAAGGAAACAAGATGGCAGGAAAGGAAATCAAACACAAGAGGCTCACAAGACCACCCTTTCCAGCATGACTGTAAGCCTTAGGTTGTGTCAACACCACATAAAGTAGAAGGAAAAATTCCTCATTCTGTGGAATGTTTAGATTTTTTTTTAGTGCTAGCATCAGAGAAATCAGTCACAGTTTCCAGACAAGAAGGTACTGCAAACCTCTATCCTGGGTACAGTGAGAAATTATGGTATCACAGTGGGTGGTAACTGCCGGCAATCATCGACCACTTTTGATGGCAAACACTCTTGGATTGAGCACATAACAAAACAGCTCTCACCAGCACTGGCTTTGGGGTGAGAGGAAGGAACAATGGATCCTCTTTCAAAAATTCAAGATAGTTTCAATAATGAGGGCTCTACAGATGTGCTTGGGAAACAAAAATACCACAGTGGTCTCTATAGGCTTTGCGTTGGGACTACAAGCAGGAATCACAGCTGGGGAGACTGAGATTCAGATAAGCAGGACTTGGGAGTAGAGGCTCAGGGGGGGGAAAAAAAGGAGGAAATTGAATAAAACCTGTAATGCTCCACAGAATGATGTTAAAAATAGATGTCTGAAAACTGCTTAATGCCCTTATCTCCTTGACTCTGGTTCCAGCTTTGGTTACTGTTTTCACTCCTAGCCAGCAAAAGCTAATGAAAACAAAGGTTACATACATCTTTAAGTTGATAAAAACCAAGATAAACAGGGACACAGAAAGGGGTTTGTTCCTGGTGCTGTCTGGTTTAGATGAAGTGAAAATGCCACAGCTGCCATTAGGATGGGGCTTGATTCATTTCCCTGTCTCTGCTCCTGGTTTTAGTGTAAACACATGTTTTTACTGTCTCCACACAGCTGCATCTTTATCAATCCCAGATGTCCAGCAGGTTTGTGCCTGTGGAGCCCAACAGAGCTCCCCACATGTGCTTTTAATTCATGTGATTCTAGAGAAAGGATTTATCAGAGAACAGATCTTTACCTTTAAGAACAATCTTTCACACTGGGATAAACTTTCTCGTGTTAAAATGTATGCACAGAAAGACAAACAACATGCTTTCCATGTGGCTGGAAATAGTCCTCCATGCCCCTGCTCCTCATTAACGAAGGCTATTCAATCTTCCCTCCACTCAGCTCATCTTCTCCACTTTCTTGATTTGGCTGCTCTGTAATCATTTCCATGACAACTTATGATGATGTCATAGACAAAGCACAATGATTTAAGAATAAGAGCTCTTCTGTGGTAGACTTAGGTAGGATTTGAGTATAATTATCTTCAGTAATAATAGAGGAAACGGGAGATTAGAGACCAAGACTCAGAATAGCTAGATAGTAGGAAAAGCAATTTACTCTGCTGTACCACAATGCAGGGTAATCCCCCATGGCTCATTTTCTAAGGGCTGAATCTTTAAAACTATGTAGGCATCTAAAGATACAGACAGGACCCTAGCAGGATTTTGGGTTTTTTTTTAAATCTGCCCCTAAAGCCTTGTCTGGCTAATCACTCTAGTCATAAGACTTCTGCTAATTCCCTTGGGAGACTTCTCTAATGAAGTGGGCCTCCTATTACAGCTACTTAGACTAAATTTTCAATTGATTGGTTTCACCCTGTTACCACTCTGATAGAGTAATCTGGGCCATCTTAAATATTTCCACCCCTCCTCTATGGTATATGAAAGGGCTTTCTCAGCTCAGCTAGCTCTCAGTTTTGTCCTTGAATTGACTCTGTTGGTAGTATAAGACTGAACTGGGCAATGGTGAACTTTCACCATGCAAGTGCCCTTAGAGATGACTGTTTCCCAAGTATCTCCTGATTTCAGCTACTAAATTGTATTATTGCTACTCTGTCCTACCCAGCTGTTAGGTTTATTCTAGAGTTTCAATTATGTTTTCTCTGTCTATGATGCTTTTAACACTTCCCCATTTCTGTGTCCAGCTATCAGCACTGCACACTTGCCATCACTCTCTCTTTACTCAGCCAGCCCTCTTCTCAAAGCTCCCTCCCTGCCTCTCCATCCCAAGTGCTGCACTTACGGATTACTTCAACTTTGTATGTTGCATTGATTTCTCCAACTTTGTTAAACACTCGGCAGGTGTATTTCCCGCTATCTTCTGGCTTTAGGTTCTTCAGGTTTAGTGTCCACTTCTTCTTCTTGTTCTCCCCAATCTCTTGGGGTGTGAGAGGCTTATTGTCTTTCAGCCATGTGATGTCAGGTCGTGGGTTCCCACTGGCCACGCACTTCAGGCGGATGGAGCTGCCGACAGGACGGGCGATCACTCTCCGTCTCATCTTGGCAGGCTGCGTGAACCTGGGTCGAGCTGCAAAAGGCATGAAAAATTGACTGTGGTGAGCAAAGGGCATGCAAAGAAAGATACTGCTGTCAAGTGTTATGGCCAAATTTGTTTGAGAGGCACTCAGCAGCCCCATATATACCAATGTATCACTATCTCTTGTATCAGCTCAAACTGATTTCCTTAGAAAGGAGGCACCATATGGCCTTATGCATTTGAACATCTACTGGAGTGCTATGGCCACCACATTAGCCTTCAGCATAGCACAGCTGTGGAATTTCTCAGTGCCCATAAAGTAACTGTGTCAGATCATCTCAGAAAATAATACCAAAACCACGCTATTGTAGCTGAAGGCAAAATGCGGCTCCATAATCACATTATAATTATTACCATATTCCATGCCACAAATGCAATCCAAAAGCTAAGGAAAAACCTCAGACTCCTGTCAGGCTGACCATTTTCTCAATCTTTTCCTGGTCACTTGAAGCTCCATGTTCAGCAGATGTTCCTTAGTTCTCATGGCCTTTAATGGGACTTAAGAAGAGTCAACATCTTTTCAATGTGTAGCAAAGTCTTAGAAGTGTGCCAAAATTTTATACATTGATCTGAACTGAAATGTATGCAATTCATTAAACATAATTTATGAAGCATTCACATTGAAAGGTCCAAATAAGCAAACAAACAAATGGAAAGACCCAATAAAAACCCCTGAGTTTGTTATTTGAAGATACCCCATGCCAGTTTGTCCCCAGAATTGAGAATTTGGTGGACAGGATCATGGGTTAAGATAGTGACCTTCTCTTAGCAAGGACATCAGCAATATTTCTAACAGCAGTGACAGGAACACTAGAGAAATGCAAGGTCCTCACCTGTCAAAATCTGAATCTTACACCCTTGACAGCACCTAACATTAATTCAGATTATGTCAAAGGGAAAAGAGGTGGTACCTTTACACCCATTGCAGAGAGTCTTCCTGTAAAGTCATGAGTTGGCCTAACTACTCAATAGAAAGAAAAAGATCTTTGCAAAAACTTTTAAGACAGTTGCAACAATATAATACGATCGGTTGCAAAGCAAAAGGTTCTCTAATAGTATCTTGTAATAAAGAAATCACAAATTTCTCATAGTTACATTAATTATGCAATGCCCATCCAGGAGCTATTCTAACTGCAGTCTCCTGCTGAGATTAACACAATTTCTGACTCCCACTTGGTACTCTCCTCCTACAGCCAAAATACTCCTGACAAATTCACCTGTCTTCTTTTTTTATTTTGGCAAGGCCAGTTTCTCATCCAAGTCCATTCAGCATCTCCACAACAGGTTTCTCTCCCTGCTTTTGAACCCTGTTTATTGCTTACCATGATCTTACTCTTCAGCCATAAAGGGCAGTCATCCTGCATTTCCATACTCCCTGGTAAATTCTCCCTGATGCTTTTCTCGGGAAATAAGAGAAATAGGTGATGACTGGCCTGCTCTGTGGCACACTGGGTTGAATTATGCCCATGAGTTACCGGCCTTCACAACTGGCAACTGGAGAGCCACAACTTCAGTAGCACATAACACACCAAAGCAAGCTGAGAAGGTTGAGCTTGAGGTATCAGAGAAGTTTGCTACAGGGTGGCACAGTGGGACTCCCTCCCTCCCAGGGCTGAGGGCCAGAAACTCTGGAATGTGCATTATAGTGGAGCTTTGCTGGATGGAGGAGGCTGGTCTGCAGCTTCCTCTCTTCAAGCACTGTGGAACTGCAGCTATTGCTCTCCAAGGTCTGCAAACATATCCCTTAGTCCTCACCACACTGCAGCCTTATACAACATCTCTCCCTCTCGGAAGAAGACACCCTTTGGCATAGCTCTGTATTCAGAGTCCTTTTCTGCAGGGGAAACCATCTGCCTCCGCAGCCTTCCCTTGCCCCCTTGGCTGTCATTTTGGGTCCCAGCCATTTAATGTTATTTCAAACTCTTGCTCAGAAATGCTTTACTCTCCGTACAGAGGCTTTCATGTGTAATCTAATGAACCAGAGCAACTCCAGCACTGAAAGTCCTTGCCGTGACAGCTGAGCAGCAAGTGTGACATACTAACCCACCCCACAGGTCATGGTGAGTAAATTGCTGGGTATACCCTTAGGGTGGGCTGCAAGAGGAGGTTCCCCCCCAGAAAAAAAATAAAAAATAAAAAATAAAAAAAATCACCCTCCCAGAGAGACAATTAACCCTGTCAGAGCTGCACACTGTGAGCAATGACATGACAAAGTTTAAGTCTGAACCGAGGGACATGTGCTGAAAGGGGCTGTCATTGTGGAAATCAAGTGAATGTCTACAAGGTGCATGGAGAGGTTAAGAACCAGTCGTGAAATGGGTCTAAACAGTTATCCTCTAATAGGGTAGTAATTTACTCCGAGACCAGGAACTGCAGGTCCAGGTAGGGGTAGATCCTTGCTGGATGGCATTCCTGGGCTGAGACTGACATATCAAAGAGTAGGTTGGAGACAGAACAGACACACTGCCCATGCAGAGTGAAGAGTTGAGTGAGTGACTCTAAGCTCTCACCTTTTCTTACCTCTTCCTTGCTTCCACAGCAATATTTCAGAAGCACTTCATGGTGCCCCTGCTCAGTAAGGGCACTGCAAGACAGAAACTCTCTTTCCTTCCCAAAAAACATATAATATTTCTAGTTTTCCTCCCACTGACTCCCATGGGTCTGTCTGGGGTTTTGCATTCATTCCTCGTACATTGTTTACCAGATAAATACCAAACTACAGGTAAAGCTAAACTTCTTTAGCTCTTTCTGTCTTTCTTTCTTCTTCTGTTTAAAGGAGGTTAAGTGATTATGTGGTCTCAAAAGCTACCCCAGGCTGCGTGCAATATGCTGAAACCAGATCCCATTTACACAGTCCTGAATGTTTCCTTGACAAAAGCCTGAATTGGACAAGTTTAGAAAAGCCAGTTAACAAAAAAGGAGAGAGAGAGAGATACACATAAGAGAGAAAAATAGACCCAGCAAGCGCAAAGGAAAAGGAGGGAGAAGCAGCAGCATGAGAGAGGGGCAGAAAAAGTCTCTTTTGAGTTGGTGCTAGTAAATGTCTGTCCCTGAATCTGTACCATTTACAGAAGTTTTGCTTGTTGGAGTGCCAGAAAAGGCCTTTACAAAGTGCCTTTGTGTTATTTATACTTCACGTGCATGTTCTCTTCCACATCACTTGGCCTTTGCTTCATAACCATGAACTGTACATTTGTACAGTATAAATTATGCCACACACAAAAGCAAGGGAAAACACAAGCGGATGGGGAAAAAGAGACAGTGTTGTGTATGGGTTCCTTGCTGAAATGCTGTTTACCATGAAGATTTATTCAAGCTAATGAAAATTAAATGAAACAGAAGGCTGTCAGCACAACGACCTGGGAAGGAATTCAGCAGTCTCCTCTCCCTGTGGGACACCTCGAGGTGCATAGATTAGTCCCAAAGGTTCCTGTCAAATGTTGCTCATAAAAAGTGAGGTGGTTTACTAAAACATGCAGTCTGCTGCAATCTGGCACTATTGCCTCCACATAGTGACGGTCAGTATCGCTTTCACGATATTTATATAAAAAAGTGTCATGATACGACTAAGTATTGAAATACTTTCCCGTCCTTTGGATAAGAGCTCAGTCAGTTATGGGAAGACATGTATGGAGGTATCTATATTTCTTCCCATCAGCTCCCTGCTCTTGATGGGGGCAGGACCTCTCCTCAACGATAACACTCCGGGATGGTAGCTAGAAGCAAAGTGGAAGGGTTTTTACCATGCTTCTCCCATCCCACTTCTAAGTGACCATGGAATGGTAAAGCGACTGTGAAATGGTAAAGTTCTCAATTGTCGGTGGAGTAAGGAGACCACTACCATGGACTTCCAGAGGGCAAA